TCTCTTAAATGGAATTAGGGATCGCTTAATCCCTCATTTGGAAGGTCCTTATGGGTGATTAGAGATCTTTTTCTTTCAAACTGGCAATCTGGCAGACTGTCACAGTTGAGCGATTGTGTACCTTCAATCGCTTTTAACTTAACTACCAATCATCAAAACGCTATAGTATATAAATCGTCTTTTCTCGGAAGGGTCTATCCGGGTATGTATTAAAATATAGAACAATCCATTAAAAATTGTCAAAAACTGTAATTTTTTTAAACACAATGTCTCATATTTTATTGCGCATTCAGATAAACTCTTTCAAAAGAGGAGATTAATATAACTAACCTTTTGATGATTAGTTGTTGAGATGTAAGCGATTCAATGTAGAAAAACGCTCAAACTTGACCGTCATGTTGAAAATTAATGATCACATATTTTAGGGTTTTAAAGTACTTGTGAGCTTCAAAAGAAGATATCACCTAACCCCCACTCCATTTTCATCCGTTTTCAGGTAAAAAAAGTGCGTTATGATCCGTTCAAAAAATTAGTAGAGGGAACCTGCCTGGAAAGCACTGTATTACAAACACGCTAAGATTGTTATCGTTGTTTGTAATCACAGATTGATTCTTTAATTTACAGGGTGATTAACAGTGATCCTTAGAAGAGCGTATGTGACACAAAATAAGAAAAGCGTTCTATGACCCTCTAAATGTGTTTAATTTCTGATTAACGAGTTCTAAATAAAGAAAACCACGAAATAGTGTATTCCTAGGTCCAAAAATGGATCGGAAAGATTCTAGCGCCATCTATGAAAGCATAATAAATACAAAAATGATTTAGAAATCCACTTTTTGAATAATTTAATAATAATGATAATAAACGGCTTGATTCGCTGAGTTTAGCAAAGCTATTCTTACACTCAACCGTACTAAAACTAAAGCTTAATAATTTGACATACAAACATGATATTTTTACTAATACACTAAGCGATTTTATGTTTATGAATTTTTAAATTTGAAGAAAAAAAAGGGTAATGGATCACATGGTTTAGAACCAAAGGGCATTCATTTATTGATCCTATGCTGCATTTCTAGGAGATGAAGTCTGAGATGCAGTTTGAAACAGATGCTATTACTATTTAAGATATCAATATTCGTGCTATACCTATTAAAGAGGAACACTGCATTATACGTGAAAGACCTATAAAAGAGTGATGTTACATACAGAGGCATTGTAAAATGGTTTTGATATATTATATTGACGTTATATATACTTGATCTAGGGACTAGCCTTTCTACTAAATATACAGGGTTCTTAGAATGTAATATACGATTCAACGTTGTTAAGTAAAAATATTGGAATAGAAAACTGATTGAGCCATTGTAAGAGTCTGAAAATAATTAATGTCTTTAGTAGCAACACAACAATAGGGCGAAGTTTAGCCAGTTGGCTACTCTTATACTCAACCCTATTGAGATATGTGGTCAAATTTACGCAACTCACAAACAAAACAGCAACAGTTATTTTGTAATCCCTGTAAGCGCTTTTTAGTTGAATAGACCATGCATCGATAAGGAAAAAGTAGGACAAACCTAACGAAAAAGTGGAACAAACCTAACGAAAAAAGTGGGACAAACCTAACGAAAAAGTGGGACAAACCTAATGGAAAAAGCGGGAATGACCTAACGAAAAGAAGTGGGACAAATCTAACGAAAAGAGTGGGACAACCCTAACGAAAAAATGTCCCACTTTTTTCGTTAGGCTGACATCGAAAGGGAGATGTTGTTTGCCTTATAAGAAAATAATATAATAAAAATCTTGGCAGAATTGTTTAACATTTCTGTCAAATCTGAAATTATATAAATCAAATTGTCCACGAGTCGTTTTCAGTAGTGTATTGACGGATTTCTATATCTTCAGAATAGTTTTTTTTTTCACCAACTATAAAAGTCGCCCAATTTTGGACGCGTGCTTGCTCTTCGAACTGTTAAGTTAGACTTGGAGTACCTCTAATTGGGAGATCTGCCCCGTTTCTTGCCATAGGTCGGCTGCTTCATTTCTTCTAGGATCAATAAGTAGATATTTTATTAGTCGGATTATGTTCTCATCTCTACCTCTACCAGTAGCTACATGTAGCTCCACATAATTAATTAATTTGGATGAGCGTCAAGAGCCACATATTAGAAGATATTCTTATAGTTGTATGCTCATGTCGCCTTTCGACGATGATACAACTCTGCCTGAAAAACAGATTCCATGTTCCTTAATTTTTAGCTTATGCCTGACGACCCCAGCTCCAGCCTCTATTTTGGTATTCAAACAGTTTGTGAATAGAGCAGGAGAAGGAGGAGGAAGATTGTAACAAACTTTTTTAGTGACATATTCTCCAAAACAAAGTCAAAAAGGACCAGTAGAAAGAACTAAGACCCAATCTATGATGGAAAATCGGCACAAAATATCATTTTTAACTGACCTTTCGGCAAGACAAAAATGCTATGATATCATAGAACAAATATTTAATAGTTTTACTAGCTACAATCAACCATATAGGAAGTTCTCCATTAAGAACATTGCCACCCTATTTTAACTCGAGCGGCCCCCCTCAATACATTAAATTTAAAACCCAAAACAAACATTTCGATATTCAATTCCTCGGATGATTCCACTGACCAAAAGATGTAGGGTAGAAAAAAAGTCAGAAAAGTTCTGCGTACATGTTTAGGTTTCCGATAACCCACAAGAATTAAGTGTGATAATCAAAAGTTCACTAGAGCCTACCTTTAGGACCCAGAGGTACGGTAAAGCTTAAATCCTGAAACTTAATATTAATGGGCGGCTTCTTGGGCATGTAAGAAATGACACCATTCTGCATATTGTTCCGTTTAAAATCCATGTTGAACAATCACAAATCACAATGAAATCACCATGAAAGTTATCCCGATTTCACCATCTTAGACTACATAAAAATCACGCGAGCTGTGTTCTATCGCTGGCACTTCAACCTTACACTTCAGCAAATCAAAGCTGTATGGCTATTACTATGAGATAAGCTGCCATGCCATGTAGAATTGGTGGATATAGTCCAGATCCCCCCTCTTCAGTTAGATTTTGGAACAGGTAAATTGTTTTCTGGTCGGCGCGCGAAGCAGTCCCGTTAATTTTAGGATACATACGTCTTCCAAGACGCCTGTTGAAGACAGAATATGGCCGCCTCTTCCGAGATCAAAATTAAGCTCATTGCCTCATGAAAAACACGGTGTCTAAACGTTCATTAACGGAAAAATATCAATTTTAGGTTCCAATATCGTCACGTAACTCCATGTTTATTAGTAATATTAAGAGCCTTCATCCGTTCAACCACAGACGGCCAACCATGGACAGATATTTCGTGCTTTTTGGAAACTCACGGTCTCAGGTGGGATCCAGCTGTCAAATACGAACTGGGATACAGTTCTAACAGAGAGCTTGCTATTTCACTCTCGCAGTGGTCGATTCTGGTAATAGATATCACTTAGTGTTCCCTTATTTCGATAGTCCATTTTTATTGTAGCTGTGAAACTTTGAATGCCGATTTTGATTGTTTCATGTATTAAAACTATTTTGCCGTATCAGTAGACTTTGCATGCAAACATTATAAACAATTTTTAGGCAACGGAAATGTCAGTAAATTATTATTATAATTTTTTGGTAGCGAAGTCCAAATTAATACACTCAGCTTTGTGCTTGAGCTGGCATAGTTGATTGTATGTATCTATATAAATTATGTAACAACAGAAAATACATAATATTTAAATTATCAATCTAAGCTATTAAGCACATGTGTAAGTAGACATGATATAGTAATAAACACAAAAAAATGTTTAAAGTAGGCATAAATTGTCATGTTGTCAAGCCCATTACTGTGTACAACAAGTAAATAATCTTTAAAATCCACATTATGGATGTATTGCCGACCTTCAACTCAATTTATGTCTTACGACGTCGATGGCTTTGGTACCTTACAAGAGAATACTGATTAGAGAAATATTCATAATTATATTAAATGTGAATTTAAAATTTGAGCTCCAAACTAAAGTTCTGACAAGCCCCGCATCTTCGTGATGTATTAGAGTGGTACATAGGACCATTCATTAACGTATTCTACCTGAAGATAGCCAATCAAATGCTATAGTCTAGCGTTCAAAAAATTAACCGAGATAAAATGAGATACCGTAGTGCCATATACGAGAACTTGTCACAGATGTTTCTCTATTCACTATATATACTTTGGAAAGGTTAGTATCTCATGGATGGCGCTGCCTTTACTCGCATACACAAGCATACCCACTTGTTTGATTTCCATTTGTCTCCAATACTAGCCTATACCTTGCTGACGAGTCGCTAGAGAGTACAAAGCAGCATTGTCTACGGTTGGTCTTGGTTACAGGGATGGAAAACAAACACATTCAGTTGCATGTTAATGCTTTCTCGTGGTTTTGTTCGTTACTTGAGATTTCCTTCAGCCTACGTTTTTATAAGACATAGTTAAGTATGGGCCAGACTTTACCATTTTCGTAACTGAATCCTATTTATGTGTTACAAGTCGACTGATTGAATTGTTTGGATTTGATCTTCTAGATTCTTTAAAATATTACGTATGTTTTTAATTGCGGTTTCCCAGTATTCATAATGAATATTCGAGACAAACCATAATCTGTACTCTAAAACGATTCGGCTTGAATCTTACTCGAAGGTGTATAAAAAATTATAAAGTAATTAGATATTTTTGGCATACTTTATGTTGTAATGTTTTACGTTATTTTGACAGGTAGATATACTCCTTATTTCTCATTAGTACCTATACTACTTAAAAGGTGTGTTGTTATAGGCTATGGATACCTATAATAAATTATTTGTATGTTTTGGAAAAGTTTGTTGTCAAAACATCATAAGGTAGGTACACTTTTTTATTTAGCTCACGGAATTATTATTCTGTCAAAAAACGCCAGAAAATAAAAGAATGTCGCATTTTTTTATTATATGAAAGAAACTAAAAACAAAAAATTCAATAAAACAGGAACTGACAACTATTAGACATTATATAGATTTATGCAATTCTAACATAAATAGATATTATTTTTAGTTATATATTCAATTAAATAACTGGCACGTTCTATCCATACATCTATTTACAAGAAACAGACATTGAGCTTTTTTGTTAAAAAAAGTTCAAGAAAAGCAAGCAAGCTATAGATATAACTATTGTGTTCATGTGCTATTTTCTACTATTTTTGTTTCAAATTTAAAACTCTCACAATACTGCATTTGTCTCGTGCAGTCAATGCTGTCATTCTTATGAACTGTATTTTTTTTTGGTATGTTATTATTTTGTTTAAATGTGTTTAAGTATTTTTTTTCCTGTTGTGGGGTTGGGTGTAAGACTAGCCGTCTGGCTAAACTTCGCCTCACTGCAGCTAATAAAGGCATTATTATTATCATTATTATATCTATGAGGTTAAACAAAACAAAATTACATTTCAACACACTTTTAGCTAAACTGAAATCACGGAAGCAGGGCTAGCTACAGGCGGAAAGCAAGAGAGGCAGCCCCTTCGAGGCACAGTGGCATGGGGCGCAAAAATCTCAATCAATATGGGAGGAGAGCGGATATTTTAACCTCTGTCTCAGGGCGCACAAAATACTGAAGCCGGCCCTGTATAGAAGTCTTTATTTCAGGTGTCCTAATTCCATACATATCTAGAGGTGCTGACTGAAACATTCATCTGTTTCCAATACACATCAGCTTCGGAACCCTGACCTGGGTAAAATGTAAACACATTGCCTACCTTTACGCCCCTGGGGCACGGTATATGTAAGATCCTGGAACTCGATATCGATGGGCGGTCTTTTGGGCAAATAGCACATGCTGTCGCCCTGCATATTCTCAACAAGATCCATGTCGATCACTTTCACTGATCCCGCATTTACGAACCGTTCGTGTGTCTCTGAATAAGGCGGTTGTCTCCTCAAATGCAATTCAGCGTGCGCCGACCAGCGACGAACTGCGGTTTCTATCTATTCTCGTTTGTTTCCTTCAGCTGTTGCACCGCCGCAACGCAGCCGCCTCGGATGAGTACGTTTATTCTACCCCTCTCTCTTCCAGCCATGCTCGGCATCGATTGTTTTGTTTCGCATTGGCTGCACGCCACTGACGGTTGACTCACTCCAACTCGGATGCTCACCACACATCTAGCTAGCGAGTGTCAGGGGCGGGGTTAGCTGTGGGTAACTGAGGTGAGAGTGCTGGCAATATTGAGAAGTTCAAAGGCTTAAGTCTATTTACCCAATAAAAACATTAAACTAAAATGATCACCAGCCCGTGTTCAGTGGGTGATCGGAACGCTGATATATTTCAAGAAACCGAGAGCATAACTGTTATTGGGCAGAATCGGACTCGTCCATATACATGACCAATGACAATCCAGGAAGGTGGAGTGGGAGACGACATGGCCGGTGCAAGTAGTCTCGCAGGCCCTGTAAAAAGCTAGGCCTTCTGGATTCCGATCGCGTGAAGTGTGCGTGAATCAGTTTAGGGTTAGATTATTTCTTTGATAAATCTACTTCTCGTCTTCGCTAGGTAGATGTACTGAGGGTAGGGTGAAAAGTTCCCGGCATGAAAATGGAAGACTACGATTGACAATGATTTCATTTTTTCGCCTTAACGCTCTTCGACTTCAACACACTTGGTGCAATATGCTACTTCTAAGAAGAGGAACTTTTAAAAGCTGTCTGAAGTTGATAGAACACAAGTTGAAGCCTATCATACGAACAACTGACATTCGTTGAACTAAGCTGGTCAAATACCTCATGAATTTCCAAATAAAATATATGCTATCGTAGTCGAATATTTCTTTTTATACCGAAGCAGCCGCGCAGGCAGAAGTCTGAATGCCGGGACACTGCGGTTGCTATGAGGATCCCAAAGAAATTTTGTTAATCCAATTTCTGAACTGCCTAAGGTTAGTAGAACTGGGAAAAGCTTGCTCTTGCAGATTGTTTCAAAATATCGACACCCTCGGGACAAAGGAGCGGTCGTACCGGCCAGTTCTGGATGTACGAAGTTCAACACGGTTAGGATGGGAGGTCAAAGTCAGACGGGTCTGTCTGGCAGGCACATCGCTCGGCGGCATCATGGAAGAGAGCTCTGAGGAGCAAAGCCCGTTGGTGTAGCGGTAGAAGAGAACTAGATCGCCGAAGGTCCGCCGGTGCCGGTGCGAAAGAGTTCCGAGACTGTCTGTTACAGAAGCGTCGTCGATCAGTCGGACATCCGTCCTCTGGGCAGTGTCGAGCATAAATAATATAGTCGGGGCGGCAGCACCCCAAACGTGTGTGCAATACTCGAGGCTAGGCCTTATCTGGGTCTTGAATAGGGTAAGAAGGTCATGCGGAGAAAAGAGCTCTCAGCGGCAGAGAACGGCTTGTCACTCTGAATTCCTGCATATAGAGTGCTGTCATCAGCAAAGCTGTGGATTGGGTTGATTGTATAGGAAAGGAGGTCGTTGATATGTAAGAGGAACAGTAGCGGAACCAAGACCGATCCCTGGGGAACACCCGCGTTGGTGTTGTGGGATGTAGATGAGAACACATCAATTACGATATCTTGAGCAAATTTCCAGTTTTCTGGGCATGGAAATATGGAGAGGGAAAGATGTCACCCAGGGGCGGATCTAGAAAATATTTTCAGATAGTGATATTTCGGGGGGTGTCCGGGTCTTCTGGATCCGCCACTGATGTCACTCGTTTAACGAATATAAAACAATGTAAAACCTCAAGAGACTCCTTTTAGAAGAATTAGCGCAGCTTGTGGAAAGACACTTAGGTTTATAAAAGCCAGTGGCGTATACAATTTTTCGCTAAACATGAAGACACTCAAGCATAAATATCTCGTATCATGACAACGGAAAATTTCTAGCCCCCCGTTTATATACTTTTTTTTCAGATTTCTGCGTGCTGAATTTGCTCTTAATTTTTTTGACACTTTCTATAGCAGACCGTCTACAGTGTTGTTTTGAGTTTTTTCAAAACTTTCAGTGTCGTCTCCTTAATGAAACTGTATTGGAGCAAAATTTTAATTTTTGCCAGAATTTGACGCCAGTAAATACAGTATTTCTATCATTCGGAGTGGTGCCCCAAATGTAAAATATGCAAATAAAAATGCACAAGTCACAACAATGTGCAACAGAGGTAAGTCAAGCCCCTAGAGTGCAAAAGAAAGCAAGCGACAATTTTCTTTATTTATATTCATATTTATATACACAGGATTTTAAAAGCTTCCGCAATTTATTATTACGTGAACAAACTCTTTGTATTATGATACACCGCACGAACTGTTTATGAAGTCAATAACCTATGATATATACAGCAAGGTAATAATAAACACCTGAAGGATCCTGAAATGATGCACAGTTGAATAGATTGTATTAATTACATTGATTGATGTTACTACTAGATTTTCAAAAATTACAATATTTCATCATGTGAATGATGTTTCCAATTGTTTAGTGTTGATATCGATGAAGCTATTTTGATCTCTGACGCTCACTTTCGATCACCTTTCCACTATCGCCGGAGAAGGCCAGCATTCAATATTAATAACTTTCTGTAGACATAAAGTTTTATTGCATAGTGAATGTTCAATTGTCCAACCTACTGGCCTATACAGAAAAATGTTCTGGGGGGTCTCAGATTCCACAATAGGTATATAATATCAACATGAATAGTTCTGCGAGTGTGATCGTTTGCAAGCCATTGCATCCGAAACAATAACACTTGCCTCGAAAACTCGTTCACAACAATCTGATTTACAAATAAAGTAAACGATGTCGCACGTTTTTCACTTACTTAGCGTAGTGGTCCACCAACAAATCCATAAAGTATGGCTTTCAGATATTTATCTTAAATAGTTCAATACAATCGTCATTGCATCAGTTACACATTAATTCTTTCTTTATGAGATTCGGAGATTTCTTCAAGTTGGAGCGGAGTGCGCCTCTGAATACACCCTTACTGAATTTATTTTCGAGAAAAAATATCTTCCTAGGTTCTTCTGTGATATCATTAAAGATAGATAGAGATGTGTCCTCTTCTTCTCCCGAGAATAACTAGGGAAATGAATTTTGTATGAACGTACAGAAAAACAGCTCACCTAAGGGCAAGAGAACCACGACATTTTTCTCTTAGCGATTCGAGTCCCTCTGGAATGTCGAATGGTCAATGTCACAAGTGTCGCTGATATTCTTCTGTCACATGCGCGATAGCTAAAATGTCGCACGAATCTCATAAATGGCCTTCTTGAATCTCGCAATCGACATTTTTCATTCGACAAAACCTAGCGGAGCTAAGACCATGCGACAATGAGTGACGCGTTCGATATTATTTCACCGTTTAGCGAAAAGCAAATACCTAGCTGTTTCTTTGTAATTGACCACTTTTTTCAACACCCGTCTAAATGTCAAATAACTGAACAAGTGACAGATAGTGACAAACGATGACAAGAATCACAAAAACTAAATATCAGTGTCGCATGAGAATGAAAGATGAGATAGTTTAGCACTTGCTTTGTGACTGCCCAGTTATATTATCAATAGAGAATCGATTCAGGAGAACCATATGCCTTCAATGGATACCGGAAGGAAAACTCCGGTGGGTCGTATAATCACATCCCTTAATAGTTTACAGAATAAGTCTACGTTGCCTTGACCTATGCATTTAGCGCTCACATAGGTAGGTTTTCATAAAATAATCAGTTCTATATGAACATCCATAGACATGCATAATTAGTGTCATTATTCTTTGGAGAAGTACGCTTATATTATAATTAGGCATGCTGTCAGATATTACGACTAAAATGAATAGTTATAGCTAATATGCACAGTCGATGTACACTATCGCTGAGTGCTAATTTAGAATAAAAAACATAATGTATTTAATAATGTTTAACTATGTGTCATAACTGGTTAAGTGCAGAAACGTGAGTCCATTGCAAATGATATAAAATGTTACTGAAAAACGTGCTATATTATGGCATGTGTAAACTAAAGTGTATAATACAATATAGGTATAGTGTCTGTGTGTGACAAGAAATCGTGTAATACGGAAAAATGGATAGTTATAGTAAAAAATACTATTTGGTGTAGTTGTTAAGCTGCATAAATATCCGTTAACTAAAGGTTCTTATGTGCCAAAAAGACGCCCCCCGTTGAGAATCCGCTTGGACCTTAACATTTGAATACTCGGCATGATTGTGTGTACAATTTTGAGGATTAGTAAGATTTGCCCCCCCCCCCCCCCCCCTCCCATCTCACATCTCTCGCCAGGTACCGCCCCTCCCTGAGAAAAATTCTTACGCGCGTCTATGTCCCGATACGTCGGACGTAGTTCAAACCACTTCTGACGGAGGTGGACGGAGGCAATTCCACGAAAGCGACGATCTCGTCAGCTGCCACGCTCCGTTAAGAATGCAGCATGAATGAAGTATTGTAGGGTCAAAAAAATTATACGACTCTTGATTTCCATTTTGCTTATCAATTTTTTAGTTTTCACGTCTTCTGGAGAGTAAGTACTGTAATCGCTAAAATTGAGATATGTATTATGTTTTGTTGGATGTTATATGACATGTATGTATACTTTATCTGACATCACTTGAAATAGCATAAAAACCTTTGGTCGGCGCGTCCTTTGTAATTTCATGACGTATCATAGGCGTGCGGTCATTTATTTAGAACGATAATAATAATGTTTTTATATCACAATAAATGGATTTTACTATCTTCTTATTTTTTTGATTTGGGATAAAAAATACTCATATTGGGACTTTAATTTATGTTGACTGAAAGTAAAGAAATGGAAAAATTACAGAATTCCAACGTTTGACATAGGCAAATATTTACATAGCAGGTTTGTATATAAAAAGGTATATAAAGACTTACATTATAGGTATTTATATATCATCCTCGCCTTCGGATATGTCGCTAGAGTCATCTTGTAGAGGAATTACAACGGGATTTACAGGAGGCAAAACACAATATTCATTTTCTTTTTCAATAATATGCCTAGAACACTGCTTCCATAGGTCTGTGGCAGCAATATGAGATACTGCATCTCTTATTGTGGCCAGTAGCGATTCACTTAATTGAGGGGTCTGATTATGTTTT